TTGTTGGGAACTTGATATTGAACTTGATCCTCAAATTCCCTCTCTTTGAAGGCTCTTTCGCTATTGGCATTCCTTCCCTTGGAACAACCTCTTCATAGTTTGGATGTATTACAGTGCTAATAGGAACAGTCAGTTTTCTTCCATCTAGTGTCGTTAGATGGACCGTGTAGCCTGTTAATGCTTCAGCCAGTGAGATTTTCTGAGTGGTCACAAGGTCATTCCCGTCCCTCGTAAACACACTGTGTGGTTTCTCATCAATTATGAACATAAGATCTGCAGCTACAACATTTGGCTCTTCATTTCCTTTTTCCGGGAATGTAATCTTCGTTCCCTTTTTCCAGCCAGGTTTGATGTCAATGGTCAAAATTTCTTCTACTGGTAAAGTCTTCCTGCACAGAAAAAATTAGTCGTCAGCATATCGATTGATGAGTTTTACTTCGGGTGTAAAAAGTTTTTTCACTGTCAGATAACCTAAAAGGTGATTAAACATAACTATAACATAAGGCTGTTACAACAGAAATGGTAATGATTTGAATCATAGACAGTAGGACCAGATTAAAGACGGAGAATAGTGATGAAGTTTCAACAACAATAGTAACAACTTTCTCTAATTCGACCAGATGAAAAGATTTGGACATCACTTAGTTGTTTCGAGTATTTCTACACAACTGAACAATTGAGAAATTATAGCCACAAGCTCAATTTTGGTCTACGGACACATGAATGTTCAGCAAAGCCCGATTATTCATTTAATCGATTACTCCTTATATCCTACTTATTAATTCCTTTATAATACGCTTGCTATTGACATTGAAGCATAGTTTGGAAGTAAAAACTTTCACCCGAAATATGCAGCAAGTACAAGTTTCAGACTACCTGATGGACATTGGTCTGCAATCAGGTTGGCTCCCAACAGTGAAAAATCATATGAGACGACAAGAAGGATCATCAAAATAAGAATGTAACAACAAAAGAAATCGATCCATTCATGGAAGCGTAATGAATTCAGCAGATACTAATTTGCAAGTTGAACAAGCAGGGACAACAACTACTGAACTAAGAGAAAGGACAAACATGACTACATAACTATACAAGCCAAACAATCAAGAACAAGCATATCATATCTGAAAAAGTGATTAGTTTACTTACCCACTTGCATCAGCTATCTCCCTAGAGATTTTCATCTTCTTCGTTGTCCCCTTATAAAGCTCTTCTAAACTACAAGGCAATGTTCTTTCAATCGGTGGCGCCTTTCGGGGACCTGAACTCATTGGTCTGCCTTCTCCAAATGAACTAAAGATATCATCACCAAACATTGAACTAGAAAACCTTGAACCTCTCATCCCACTACCACCACCCATACCCCCACCAAATGGGCTCGAAAATCCGAAAAATTCTGTGAAAATATCATTGGCATTTCTAGGATTGAATCTAAATACATTTGGTCCATCTCCTGTCTGGAAAAATGTTTGCCCACCAGGTCCACCAGCATCAGGTGGTGGCACTTGACCTTTAAGCCCTTCTTCCCCATACTGATCATATATTGCCCTCTTCTGTGGATCACTTAATACCTGCACGATAATTACAAATTAACACCAAATTAAACAAATAATCATAATCCAAACTAAGTTCAACCTGCATACACGTGATCATATAGTTTTCCATAAACAAAAAAAATATTCCAAAGTGTTCCAACCAGTGGAGAACAATCTTGAATAAGTCTTATGAAAATACCGTCTTGAATACAGGGGTGGAGCTAGCTCTTCGCCTACGGTTCGACCAAACTTTGTATTGGTCTTAAGAAATTTATTGAATATGAATAAATTATTAATTTAGAACTCAATATGTAAAAGGATAAAAAATCCCGAACCCATAAACTTCTCTGCTTGAATAGACAATTGAAACCCCATTCTAGCTAGTTTTAATTACATGATGGACCTCCTCTATTTCAATATACTAAATAACATAAGCAAATTCAAGAAACAAAGTATTGGAAACAGAGATTAGTAGCTTAAAACAATAAATAGAATGAAGAATAAGAAGCAAGAATTATATATAATACCTCATACGCTTCAGAGATTTGTTTGAATTTAGCCTCAGCTTCTTTCTTGTTATTGGGGTTCTTATCAGGGTGCCATTTCATAGCCAACTTCCTATAAGCTTTCTTTAAATCATCATCTTTAGCATTCTTATCAACCTGCAATACCTTATAATAATCTGCACCCATCTTCTAACTCTTTTACCAGTAATTGAGCTTAAATTTGATGAGTTAGAAAGATAAACAGGCTAATATTTGTGTTGTATGTAGAATAATTGAAGTTTGTGTTTGGAATTTGATTGTGGGATATATGTTAGAAGGATTTAAGGGTGTGTGTGTTATATTTATTTATTAAAGAGAAGGAGAGAGATGGGTCTGGAAAACAGAGGTCGTAGAAAGGGAAGAATGTGGAAGTTTCCAGATTTCAGTTGAGTACTGCCCCCGCCGTTATTCTGACGTGGAAACAAAATTCGGTATTTTCAGAAAGCATTTTAACCTTAGAAAATAATTGATTTCAAAATTATATATATAACTTTCTTACACAATGGATATTATTTCATAAAATCATATTCCGCTGGTCCACTTTAATTGATTTTTTTGGTTGTTTTCACACATATTAAGGAATTCACCTTATATCATTAATTAATAATTAAATTGACCATATTAACCTTAATTTATTCATTAAAAATATAATAAATTCTCGTAGGCTCTTTATTCCAACATCAACTTTGAAAAAAAAAATTAATTCCTTCTTGATATCCGAAAAAATCAAATATTATGAATCACAAAAAGGCCAAAAAATTAATTAAAATGGATCGAATATAGTAGTTTGAATAACATTTTCATTTTACCATCATTAAATATGCTGAAATAGAAGAACTAAAGGTTAAATTAATGTAGTAGTACAAATAGAAACTTTCTATGTATTTAAAACTTTTTGATTTTTTTTAAAAAAAGAATAAATATTTTTGTAAAAAATTATTCACACCTTTGATTGATTCTATTCTCATTGAAATATAATGAAAAGGTTAGTTTGAATTGACCAGTAGGAATTTGAAAAATCTTATGCATAAAAATGGAAAAAATCTAAGAAATTATGGAAGTTGCGTAAATAAAGTGCCAATAAATGTATCTTCTTAGTTTTGATGAACATGTGATATTTCGTTTTTCAAAAACATATTGGGAACCAACCAACTTCTACCATGTCCATGTAATCTTTCGAGCTGATTAAATTATGTAATCGTTTCTCACATAAATTATAGTTACTGTTTCTCACTTTCATTCAAGATCTCAAGAACCCCTTGCATGACTACTGCTCAACTCAGAGGCGAATTTAGCATTATAAATACGGGTTCAATTGAACCCATGATTTTTTAAATTTATGTATAATTTATTAAAATTAAAATAAATAGTAGATATGAATTAATAAATTTAAAATTATAATGGATTCAATGCTAAATATTTTAAAAGTTGAATCCATAGGATTTAAATCCTGGATCCGTGTCTCTGCTGCTAATCTCCATATAAAAGCCATCACTTTTTGGCAATACTAAATTGGTCAGAGTAGTATTTATAAGGGTATCTCCAACCCTCCCTATTTCTCCATAATGGGGGTAATTTTTGCCATAACGGGGCTCCAATGCCCCCATTTTGTCCCCAAAATGGGGATGAATAGTATTACTCAAATATGGAGTGACACTATTCATATCCTCTATTACTATTCATCATTATTTTATTATTATTTTTATTATTTAATTCATTTAATTTATCTCTTTATATATACCTAATTATGTTTATGTAATATTTTTATAATATTAATTTTACATCATAACTTTAGCGTATAATTTTGATAAATTAATTTTCATGCATTTATTATTTTTATGTAAAGTTGTAAGTTAATTTTATTATAAGTTATAATTGTACAAAAAATATATAATCATCTTAAAAAATGAATGGTGGTGCAAAGATGCTCATTTTGTATTTCGTAATGCATTGATATATCATTTATGAGAGCATACTAGAGGTGAAAGTTGAATATTTATGTAATATTTAATATGAATTTTACCATAATGTAATATATATTTAATTATCTTGTATCTCAATGATTTTACTTTTATTTGAATTATCCGTTAATCTATATAATCTATAATATTTGCTTACAAATTATATTATTTAAAAATTTATGGAATAAAATAATTTTATACCATAATTATATGTGATGAATATGTAAAAAAGAAAAAAAGATAGAATTTCTTTAATAGAAATAAGAAAATAAAATTTAAATAAAAGATAATAATATAATATTGAAGAGAGAGAAAAATATATAATGGAATATTCTTTTTTGAAGTAAAAAATAGAGTAATGGTTGGAGTAACTTTACTCCATTTTGGAAGAAAAAATGAAGGTAAGGGTTGGAGATGACCTAAATCCGCGTAAACCCTCGGGATATGTAAACATACCATCATGAATATTTGATTTTTTTATTATTTTTAATTATCTTCTGAATTACTTTTAGTACTGATATTTAGTATTGATATAACTCATATAACAACATTTTTGTTCGATTAAATCCTCGCCATTGTCCTATAGGTAACAAGTTGAATTACAGTATTTGCAGTGTTCAATTATCACTTCCACTCCATGTCACTCTCTTCATGGTAATTTATGTGGCACCATTTGATTAAACACAAAGTTTAAAATTTAAAAAAAGAAAAGACTTTTAAAATTTATGATATAAAAGAAACCGTGAATATTTCTATGATTGTAACTTGTATATCATCTCATTAAAGGTAAAAGTTTAATTTTAAATTTTAAATATAAAAATATTTTTTTAAAGATATACTAAAAGAAAAAATATATCACATCCATTGAGAAATTGGGAAGAGAAATTAATTATTTAAGGAAAAAAGGTCGTAATTCTGTGGTATTTTGCCAAGCGCACTCCCTAAGCCGTATCCCATTTTTTTATATTCAGATATCGAAGTTCAGACTCCAGACTTGAGAGTCAAACCATATTCAGTAAACCAATTATAGAAAGTTGTCCACCTTTTCTCGTGATTCTTTTTCCGTGATGTACTACTACTGCAGTTGAGTTCCATAACCTTCTTCTAACTTTTCAGCAATGGCTACCATTTCAGTTCCTCTCCTCACCTTTCGATCACCTCAAACCAACCGGCCATTCCCTTCATTCTTTAATCTCAACCGTCCCCTTTCAACTTCACTCTCCTCCAATGGCAGCTTCAACCATTTAACAGTCTTAAACAGCAGTACTTCTTCTAACCAAGCCATCACTGAAACAACAACCTCTGATTACTCTACCATCAATGTCCAAAACGACGACGCTTTAGACACCACCCTTTTCGTTATTCGGGCCAAGAACCGAATTGGCCTTCTCCAAATCATCACCCGGGTATTCAAAGTTCTCGGGCTCACAATTCAAAAGGCCATTGTTGAATTCGAAGGCGAGTTTTTCGTTAAGAAGTTTTTCGTCAGTGATTCTAACGGCAAGAAGATTGAGAAAGCGGAACATTTGGAGAAGATTCAGACGGCATTGATGGAAGCCATTGATACTGGCGGAGTAACACCTTCTGTGGCGGTGGTTAGTGGGAGAGGAGTGGTTGTGAGGAAAGCTGGGTTGAAATTAGGAGAGAGGAAGGCGAAAGCAGAGAAAATGTTTGGGTTAATGGATGGGTTCTTGAAGAATGATGCAGTTAGTTTACAAAAAGATATTCTTGATCATGTTGAATATACTGTTGCTCGATCAAGATTCAATTTTGATGATTTTGAAGCTTACCAGGTACTCCCATTTCCTGATTTATTTGGCATTATTTGACTGTGCATGTAGTTTAAGAAAGAAGTTAGACTTTGAAACTTGTTATTTAGACGAGCCTCGTACATTATTGTTTCTAAATATAGAAAGGTGCTATTATTTTAGGGAAAAATTAAAAAAGAAAGCGTTCCACATAAAATGGGACAGAGGGAGGAGTAGCTTTTAGCATGTTACTAATGAAGTTTGCACAATGCAGGCATTAGCGCATAGTGTCAGGGATCGGCTTATTGAACGATGGCATGATACTCACCAGTATTTTAAGAAGAAAGACCCCAAGCGACTATACTTCCTTTCGCTTGAGTTTCTTATGGGTACTTGACATTCACATGCTCATAGAGTCCTTTTCTTTGCTGCATCTAATTGGGGCACAGCTAGCCTTTTTTTTTTGGTGGATATTTTTCCTTCCTGAAACAAGTACTCGTTAAGAGAAGTCTTTATGGTTTTCCTGAAGGTGAAGTGCTCTTAATTTTGTCTAATTAAGTTTTCCTTTTTTACTTGATCTGTCAGGTCGTTCTCTAACTAACAGTGTCACAAACCTTGGCATCCAGGACCAATATGCCGATGCTTTAAGTCAGCTTGGGTTTGACTATGAAGTCTTGGCAGAGCAGGTTGGACAATTCTTGATGGCTGTCTCGGGTTCTCTTTAGCTTCTTCCTTTTTGCCTATATCATTTCTCAAACTAAAAAATAATGAGTGTTTTAGTGGTTACATTGGATCATTTGAACTTCCATACTAATTTAAGTTAATCTAGAATATTTACTACTCCATCCATTTCATTTTTTTTAAGGTGTTTCATTGGGCACGGAGATTAAGAAGGACCTAAAAACTTGTATACGTTGTGGTCTTAAGCATGTCATGACATATCTGTAAAATGATGTCATCAAGGTAAAATGTGAAATTTAACTAAGAGTGTCACCTAAAATGGAAGAGAGGGAGTAACATTTAAAGGACTTGATAGGCTAATGCTTGCAAATGAAGATGCAATAATTCCGAATTCATAGGACAAGTTTATTGATAGACGCGGCCTTGCACAATTATTGAAATATTGTTGATGCTCATTCATCCTTAAGCACTGGTAATTATTCTGGCAATCGATCTAATTTTGAAGAACACTTGCATTTACAATTGAGTAACTTCTTCTCGATCTTCATCTTTACTCACAATTAGCTGTTCTGTTGCTCCCCTAAATAAGTTATCCTTGGTGATTTTGTTTCTAACGTTCATTCATTTCTAGGAAGGAGATGCTGCCCTTGGTAATGGTGGCCTAGCTCGCCTTGCAGCTTGCCAAATGGATTCCCTAGCGACATTGGACTACCCAGCTTGGGGGTATTGTTTAGGCTCCTTTTTTCATTGTCTAAACATCATTTGCTCCTGATATTGTTCGCTTATTAGGTTTTGAATCCCCTCGCTTTTTCCTGAACATACTAAACAGTAGGAACAGTCAAGAAGAATTGGGTTTTTCCCTATATATGAATAACATCCTGCTTCATGGCTGCATTTTTGCATCGAGATGATAGTCACCCTTGTAATACTAAGATCAGATTTTCTGTATTGTTCTTTCACTCCTTTTCTTTTCAATCAAAATGATGTTATGATTTCGAACCCAAAATGATCTTTGATTTGGATTTACTGAGTTCCCTATCTGAAATTGAAATTCTACGATCTGAAAAAATGGTGTCTCGCTTTTCTTCAAAGATTTTGCCCTTTATCATTGTGAAGTTTATCTAAAGAAAGTCAACTGAGTTGGATCCTCTACATTTCTTTGTCTTCAGTTATGGACTACGCTATCAATATGGATTATTTCGTCAGATCATAGTGGATGGTTTTCAACATGAACAACCTGATTTTTGGTTGAACTTTGGGAACCCCTGGGAGATTGAACGTGTTCATGTGTCTTATCCAGTCAAGGTTTGAAAGTATTTAATTTTCCGTCTTTGTCAGTAATTTATCCAAATGAGATGTTTTCTTTTGTTGTTTTAGTTTGGGGTGCATATGATGTTATATCTTCTTCAATTTTCTTGAGTGAAACTTCTACGTGTTGCTAACTGGCAATTTGCTTTGTTTGCAAGTTCTATGGGACTGTTGAAGAGGAAGTTTTAAATGGAAAGACATTTAGAGTTTGGATACCTGCAGAATCAGTAAGTGCTTCTGTATTTAATTAGTCATTTTTTCTAGAAATTTAGACTTATTGCATGTAATATTGCCGAATGACTAACGTGTTCGTTTACTTGTAGGTCGAAGCAGTGGCTTATGATAATCCAATACCTGGTTATGGAACGCGAAATGCCATCAACCTACGACTTTGGGCTGCTAAACCAAGTGATCAATATGATATGGTAACCTTTGACAATGTTGGCTAGTAAATGTTTCTGACGAGGTCTTGTTGGGATGGAGCAGAGGTCTATCTGTATACTCTTAAATAATATGGGCATTTTAAGAATCTATGGACTTCTTTTTCTGTACCAGTGGTCTCTCTTTCATCATACGGCTTTTTCTTCTTATTATATGTTTTTCTGTGGGAGGGGCTGAGAAAGGGATAGACTTCATAATCAATTTATTCCAGTTTCTTTTCTCTGACTGGATTGTGGTAGTTAGTCACTTTCTTCTTTTGTCAAATGTGAATATCGCACCTAGTGTTGCACAGATCAGAACCCTTTTAGTTTCTTAAGAATATGTCTTAATGTGTACTTTGACATCTGACTACCTCTTAACTTCTACATAGTATCATTTCATCACTTGCAGGAGTCTTACACCACTGGAGACTATATTAATGCTATTGTTAACAGACAGAAGGCTGAAACCATAAGTAATGTGCTGTATCCTGATGACCGTTCTTACCAGGTATTTCCATTCTATATAATGTCTTGAAAAAGTGCGTAAATGTAGAGTTCCTTTAGTTTCTTGGAGGTTGGGAAGGGGCCTCATTTACTGGGAGAAGCCATTTCATTCCCAAGCATTAAGAGTGGCTAGTATTTCATATAATCTCAATTAATAATGGGTATACTGTACAGTATAACAGTACCATAACTTTACGCCTACAAATGATATTGAATGAAGTAAGAACAACTTTGCGCCTACAAATGATATTGAATGAAGTAAGAACAGTACGAGATGATGATGAGGAAGATGCCGTTTATAGATGCAAATAGAACAGATAATTATCAACAGAGATAGTGAATTGAAGTTTACTCGTAATTGGTTTTAGTCTTTTAGATGCTAATTGGTATCCTTCTTTATCAAATTATATGTTCTGCAGGATACTACTTTTGGGTTTTCTTCCTTTTTTGTCTTCCTTATGTGTACTCTGACCATTTTGATTTGCATATTCCATAACTTTCTTTGATGTTCTTTCTTCAGGGTAAGGAACTGCGGTTGAAGCAACAGTATTTCTTTGTTTCAGCATCACTACAAGACATAATAAGGAGGTTTAAGGATTTACATAATAACTTTGATGAGTTTCCAGAGAAGGTATTATGGGCATTTTTGGGGTCTGTAACTCATGCATTTATCAGACAATGGGCTCAAGTCACGTGCTCCTTGCATTTGTTTTCTTATCATAGATTAACAAATATTTGTTTCCTCATTGCACTACTGATAATTTTGGCCTGAAATGCTATTAATCAAATAAGTTATTCAGCAGACTTAGCAAAGTTTGTTAACAGACTTCGGTTACTTTGTGTCAATATGAAAGGAGTAGCATGAAGCATAATGTCACAACCCGCACTTTGGGGTTGTGACTTCGGCCAAGAACTGGTGAGAAAAGGCTCTTCTGATTGTCTGACGTAGATCTGTCTACTCAGGCAACTTGGGCTTTTTAATTTTAAGCATATATAAGGGGGTATAGGTGATGAAAGCTCCGACCTGCCTCCCCCATACGTGCTGCCACCAAGCCGTATCGAACGAGCTACCTTGGTGGCGACCTCAAGGGCCTTGCCTGGATGACTCAAAGGAGTGTCCTAGGTATCCATACGAGTTTGGGAGCTCTATGGACGGCGCGACGCCTTCGGGCTAGCGTTGGCACCAAAGTGGCGCTGGAGGCTCGATGTGTGGGACGACCAGCCCCGCGGGCTGCCGAATGTTGGAAGGAGACCTCTGTGCCGATTGGATACTTAACGCACCTGTCTTAGGGGCATCATGTGTCGACTTGTGAGCATGGCTTGGGTTCAACCATGCAAGCAAGGGTCCGTTGGCCTAAACGTGCAGTTGTGGGGTGACACTGCACTATTCGGGATGGAAGCGAGTCGCGAGGGCTATGTATGGGCATGGCACGAAAGACGCGCATGACAATGGCCAAGGACTAAAGGTTGCCTTACTCGGGCGAGGCACGAGCTAGTTGCGGATGCACTAGGCGAGTGTCAAGCTTGAGGATTGGGCTGTGCACGCGAGAGCGATGCTCAGTCTTGGGCGAGGGACAAGACATGTCCTAACCCAATCCCCCAGGGCGCGCATGGATTATGATCCTAAGATGAAGCGCCACGACATGTCTAGGGCCAAGAGCCTAGACATCTTACGAGCGGCACAAGTTGGGGCGAGCCTACGGGCGAGTCCCACCAACAGGCACAGAATCGTGCTTGGAAACCTGGGAAAGGAAATAGGCTGGCCTGCAGCGAGGGGAACTGCAGGCGCCGCACGGGCGAGTTTGTGCCGCTGGCGAGCGTAAGGAAGTCGGCCCGTGACAATAAGCGTCATTTATTAGGGCATGATCGCTAAAACAGTTGCATGTTTCACGTTCTAGAAATCCAAAACAAAATCGATACAGTGCAAAAGAATGTTTACATTGGGTTGGCCACACTTAATCTGAGTTGGCCTACTCTCTGTGATTCATAAAAATGCCATATTTTGATGATTTATGCAAGAGATTAGGATCTCCAAAGGAACAGGGAAAATTAAGCTTGGTTTTATTTTACATCCAAATACTCATGGACTATCTGCTAATTTATTCTTTGAGTTTTTTCCTTCAGGTTGCTCTTCAGATAAATGATACACATCCGTCAATTGCCATTGCTGAGGTAATGAGAGTGCTTGTTGATGAAGAACACTTGGATTGGAGCAAAGCATGGGGTATTGCTTGCAAGATTTTCTCAGTCACCATTCACGCGGTACAACCTGAAGCACTTGAGAAAGTTCCCATAGATCTCCTGGGTAGTGTTCTTCCTCGGCATTTAGAGGTTTGTTTTCTTTCAGATGATTTTGTATTTTTCCATAGGAATCTTTTGGTCTGTGCTTGTATATCTTAATGCTTCATACCATTTCGTCAGAGCATGAACATCGTTTTTGGTTCATTTGTCAAAATTTCCACGTCTCTGTAACTTCAGTCTTTTAATTGAGTTTCTTCTCAAATTACTTGTTCTTTTGGTTTTACTATAGGGTAAGTAATTTTATTAATAATGGGGAAACCTGTGCACAAACCGTATACCAAAAGGTAGAGAACCTACACCATATTTTTTTTGGTTAAATCACAGACCTGTTGCAGTTTTCTTGCAGCCGTAAAGTGTGTCGTCCTTTTTGCACCAAAGCTATCTTGTTTAATGTGTTTATTAATTGGAGAGTGATTTTCAATTTATTTTGTGAAAAATTTCTTCATCCTGATTTAATGATTCACTTTTTTTTCCAGATTATATATGAGATAAACTATTGTCTCATGGAGGAGTTAAAAAAGATATTTGGTCAGGACTATGATAAACTTTCCCGAATGTCAATTATTGAGGAAGGTGCTGTGAAGGTATAGAAGACAACCCTTTTGTGTTCTATTTTAGATAACACTACTTCTTGATATCCCAAGAATAACTATGATGTTTTCCAACATAGAACACAAAAAGTAATCTGTACTAGTAACGTGTAAATATCCCAATAATGTACTACAACAACAACTATTTCTCAATCCCAAGCTCGTTGAGGTCGGTGATAGAATCCTCAGTTACAATATCGCTTCATTTAAACCCGTAGCAATCCAATATTATGATGTCCCATAATACTAAGACCGCAAATTTCCACATTCATAACTAGGGTCAGCAATTATCTTTTTTAACTCTGTGATGCTTGTGTTACATCACTCATGTTTGTATCACTCAAACAAAGAGGACAGAGCGAGGGCAGGAGGGAGAGAGGCCAAAACCAAAAATATAGTAAGTAATATCAGTGAAGAAAGGAAAGGTTTGCGATGTTTATGGCTTGTTACTTTTTATTTTCAGCTTGATTTTATGTGATACACATTCTTTTGATAACCCACAATGCATTACTTGAATTATGCCACTTTCATTTATTGAAAAAATGGGTGCGGGCTCGAATATTGGTTCTTTTTTTTTTTTTTTTTTTTTTTTTATGCAATTGCCAATTTTGATTTTGCTCCTCATATGGACAGTGTATTAGGATGGCAAACCTGTCACTTGCATGTTGCCACACTGTGAATGGCGTTTCCAGACTGCATCTTGAGACGCTTAAAACAAGAGTGTTCAAGGTAATTTGGATTCTGCATTATTCTGATTTTTCTCTTTTCCCCATTATTTCATGAGCACTTGATTTCAAGCCTGCAGCAATGTATCCTTTTACCTTCACTAAATAAATGTCACTCTGTAAGGCCTGTTTCAGAGGGTGTTTTCCCAGGATTTCTATCCAATTCACTTTATTTTTTTTAATTTTTTTTTATTTTGTGTTAAAGAATATATGTGTGTGTGTGTGTGTTTATCCCCTTGAGATAGCTTTTCTGTTGTTATTTGTTCAGCCTCATTTCAGAGATTGATAGAGAAAACATAATTATCTAAATTAGAGAATTAACTGATCAGCCTGAACACTTGTATCCCATTAATTTCTTCCCTCCATGCTAAGTGACCACAGTGAATTATGCTACAAGGTGTAGTTTGATTGATGGACAAGTTATATAGAGATATAATGCTATGAATAACATCCAATGGATTTTAAATGCATATTCATTTATTGTTTGATGTTTGGTTCATCGTATTAAAAGTTAGATGTGCAATGTGTAAATTAAAACATGTTTTGGTTTAAAGTGAATAAAAATTTGTTTCCAATGACACCTTTGGCCTATTCATTATTTCTTCTGAACTTTCAGAACTTTTATTTGGTAGAAGTCTGGTTCAACTAAGTATGTCCCAGTAAACATTTATGTAAGATTCATTTCCTTTTTTCTTTTTGGCAAATGAAAAGAACGTCCATTAAGGTTTTGAAGATGGAAGATGATAGACTCGCCCTTCTTGAAGTTTCTACTTAAAGCCTGAAGACTGATTTGGTGATCACCGCTTTAACCTAGGGTTCCCATTTTTGGTTTTCTATAAATTTAACAATTACACTTTTTTTTGAACAAGTATTTAACAATTACACTTTTGTAACACCAAAGCCAAAAATTGGTTTAGTATTTACAATAGATGTACAAGTTTTAGTAAGACGCTTCAAATTCAAAATTATTATGTATTTTTAAATAACACTATGATAAATTTCTTTTCATTTTCTAAAGTAAGGAACTTATTTTGAGGGCATTTTGTTATTTTAGGTGTTATTATCCAGGTATTGCTAATGCAGGTAGTGTTGTTCCACATTATATTTGGCACAAAATAGTAATATATATATCATCACATAAGTACATGGGATCATAGATACGGGAAGCGAAACTGGCAACCAGTCGTCCAATCTGTGCAAAGTTTTATATGATATCTCATTTGAATGGAACCAAAAAACTCTGTAGGATACGTCTGTTATTCATCATAATTTTTTCTCATAACCTAAGAGTTAGCTAGCAAAGAGAATATTTCAAAAGGAGATCATTTTTGTAATTGCTGTGTCTTGCAGGACTTTTATGAGCTGTGGCCTCAGAAATTTCAGTTCAAGACTAATGGAGTAACTCAGGTGCATAATTGTGACTGCTAGTTGTGATTTGACTTTATCAATTTCAAGATTTCTGCCTCAGGCTTTGACTTGGCAGTTATTCTTCAAAACTTCCTGACATTCTTAGTTTGAGTTCAGAAACTTCTGATTTTCCTTTACTGCCTTTTGTAGGCAGTGTACTTACATAATAGCAAGCTTCATATCCAATCTCGAAGTTTCTGTATCTTCCTTCTGTTATCATAAATAAGTTTTATTTGGGAATTGGGGGCCTTTTGTTGGAATTTAAAATGGGCATGCAAAAAGATGATATGAATTAAATTTGAAGCAGTGTTTTAAAAGGCGTAAGGCGGGGCGTTTTACATATGCCTCAACGAGGCGTAAGCCCCATAGGTATTTAATTTTTAATATTTTATAAAATAATATAATGATAGTAAATATTTATAAACAGGTAAAATTGCATAAAAATTGAAGAAAACTATAAATATGTGAATATATATATATATATATATATATATGCGTGTGTGTGTGCGCGCGCGCGCGCGCGCACGCTTCATCCCCACAAAAAACTAGTCAAACAATCTATTATACGCTACTTACAAGCAATGTTTTAAAAG